ATGCAAAGCCTGGAAGAAAAAAAAACGCAAAGAAAAAAGTACGGCTTTCATTTACTGCACATGTAAATTCACTAAACAATGGCCAATGTGATTTTAAAGTAGAACCCCTGACAAGAGTTGCTTGGGACTGTGTGAAGCAGAGTAAGGGCTCATGTACACTGCAGCTGATAAACTCATGTTTAGGAGCTGTTCAGCGTTTTTTTCAGCAGCCCCTGAACTCTCCCTAATGTCTTCCTATGTGTCCATGTACAGTGGGGCAAAAAAGTATTTAGTTAGCCACCAATTGTGCAAGTTCTCCCACTTAAATAGATGAGAGAAGCCTGTAATTGGCATCATAGGTAGACCTCAACTATGAGAGACAAAATGAGGAAAAAAATCCAGACAATCACATTGGCTGATTTGGAAATAATTTATTTGCAAATTATGGTGGAAAATAAGTATTCAGTCAATATCAAAAGTTCATCTCAATACTTTGTTATATATCCTTTGTTGGCAATGACAGAGGTCAAACGTTTCCTGTAAGTCTTCACAAGGTTGGCACACACTGTTGCTGGTATGTTGGCCCATTCCTCCATGCAGATCTCTAGAGCAGTGATGTTTTGGGGCTGTCGCTGGGCAACACGGACTTTCAACTCCCTCCAAAGGTTTTCTATGGGGTTGAGATCTGGAGACTGGCTAGGCCACTCCAGGACCTTGAAATGCTTCTAACGAAGCCACTCCTTTGTTGCCCGGGCGGTATGTTTGGGATCATCGTCATGTTGGAAGACCCAGCCACGTTTCATCTTCAATGCCCTTGCTGATAGAAGGGTTTGCACTTCAAATCTCAGGATACATGGCCCCATTCATTCTGTCCTGTACATGGATCAGTCGTCCTGGTCCCTTTGCGGAGAAACAGCCCCAAAGCATGATGTTGCCACCCCCATGCTTCACAGTAGGTATGGTGTTCTTTGGATGCAACTCATTATTCTCTCTCCTCCAAACACGGCGAGTTGTGTTTCTACCAGACAGTTCTATTTTGGTTTCATCTGACCATATGACATTCTCCCAATCCTCTTCTGGATCATCCAAATGCTCTCTAGCGAACTTCAGACGGGCCCGGACATGTACTGACTTAAGCAGGGGGACACGTCTGGCACTGCAGGATCTGAGTCCCTGGCGGCGTAGTGTGTTACTGATGGTAGCCTTTGTTACGTTGGTCCCAGCTCTCTGCAGGTCATTCACTAGGTCCCCCGTGTGGTCCTGGGATTTTTGCTCACCGTTCTTGTGATCATTTTGACCCCACGGGGTGAGTTCATGCGTGGAGCCCCAGATCGAGGGAGATTATCAGTGGTCTTGTATGTCTTCCATTTTCTAATTATTGCTCCCACAGTTGATTTGTTCACACCCAGCTGCTTGCCTATTGCAGATTCAGTCTTCCCAGCCTTGTGCAGGTCTACAATTTTCTTTCTGGTGTCCTACAACAGCTCTTTGGTCTTCACCATAGTGGAGTTTGGAGTGTGACTGTTTGAGGTTGTGGACAGGTGTCTTTTATACTGATAAGTTCAAACAGGTGCCATTGATACAGGTAATGAGTGCAGGACAGAGGAGCCTCTTAAAAAAAGAAGGTACAGGTCTGTGAGAGCCAGAAATCTTGCTTGTTTGTAGGTGACCAAATACTTATTTTCCACCATAATTTGCAAATAAATTCTTTCCAAATCAGCCAATGTGATTGTCTGGATTTGTTTTCTCATTTTGTCTCTCATAGTTGAGGTCTACCTATGATGCCAATTACAGGCCTCTCTCATCTTTTTAAGTGGGAGAACTTGCACAATTGGTGGCTGACTAAATACTTTTTTGCCCCACTGTACATAGTCGTTTACAGGCAGTTGAGTTTACAGTCGTTTTTTTTTAAACGCACCAAACTTGCGTTCAGGAGTAGATTTTACCGGCATTTCAAACACCAAACGCTTCTAAACGCGTATAAAAGCGGTTAACCCGTTTATAAGCGTTTGTGTTTATAAGCTTTTTTTTTTTTTTTTTTTTTTTTTTTAACTGTTCCATGTCCAGATGCTGTCTAGAGCCTTTTTTCATCATCAGAAATGCATGCAAAGTGTTTTCCGTGTATTCAAATGAACCCAGTACACCAGCACAGTCAGTTCCAGGTTTCGCGTGAAGGAAACGGTAGAACGTGCTGCATTATGCTCATGATGGGATCCATAGTGAATAAAACCAGAAAAGACAGGTCATCTCAACACATACTGCTCTCTCTGCTTCTGCTCTCTATTTCTCTTAAAATGTCTGAAATAGTTAATTCTGTACTATTTTTCAGTGCATTCTGGGCATTTTGGAAGGTCTCCTGAGATTAACTTTTAAAAACGCTTCTAAACATAAGTGCGGCTAAACTGACGTTTTTTAACCTATGTTTACCAGCAGTCAGTTTCCATTGTTCAGAAGAGTTTTCCAAACGCCCCGTGTACATGAGCCCTTACTGATGCAACAAAACATCCAGTCTCATGTCCGTTGCTGTGATGGTATAATCAAATGCACTAGTGCTGGCAGAGGTAACACCTAATTGGATAGAAATTGTAGAATCTCTTACCCTAAAACCCGAAAACAAAAATGTAATCTACTGCAGCTCAGCACTTCGATGTGGTGGCAGCATTTATTTTTTTCAGGCTTTATTTTAACTTGGTGATCCTACCAGTAACACATCTGGGGGAATTCAATACAGCATCACCCAACTCTTTTGGTGCTATGACCCTTTAAAATATTCCATAGGAGATGGCCTGGGCTAGATTCAAAAATCCCTACTGCCTATTTCAGTAACATTGGTGACAGGTACAACAGATTCAGGTAGTTCTTACAACACGCAGTAAGCAGATTCTAGAGCCAATAGCAGGCTGTCTGTTGCCTAAGGACCCGCTCACTTCTTGCTGTCAATCACAAGGAGAGCTGAATGATGGGGAAATTTTGTCTGAATCCCCATCAGGCTCTGCCCATCCAGATTCAAGATTCCTACTGCTCTGCTGCCTGTGTGACAGCCGCACCAAGGCTGGACTGTCAAAATGAATGCTCAAACATTCCGGATCCTAGTGTCTCAGGCACTTGATATTGTCATACGGTGACAAAGTCCACCCACTGTACAGTATTTGATGGGCAGTGTTATTACCCTAGAACAGGACTACAAAACATCTTCCCTTCATCTTTTCTATTGCATAGGGGGGAGGTGTTCTGTAATTCACAGAGTTAGCTGGCAACGGGGCAAACTGATAATCAGCAGAGGCAGGGAGTACATTAAAGTGGTTATAAAGGCTCAAGATTATTTACCTTCATGTATTCTATGAATGAAGGTAAAAAACCATCTGAGTGAAGCACCCCCCCAATCCTTACCTGAGCCCCCTCTGATCCAGCGATGTTCACGATAACCTTGGCTGTATGGGGACTCTCCCTCCTCACTGGCTGAGACAGCAGCGGGAGCCCATTGGCTCTGGCTGCTGTCAATCACAGCCAGTGAGCCAATGAGGAGAGAGTGGGAGGGCCAAACTGCGGCTCTGTGTGTCTTAAGGACGCATAGAGCAGCGGCCCAGGGGCAAGCAGTGATGCCCCCCAGGGCAATTGGTTTTCTCTGGGGGCACTGCACAAGGGGGAGGAACCAGAGTGCCAGTAGGGACCCGAAACCACTGCACAGAGCAGGCAAGTATAGACATGGTTATTTTTATAAAAAAAAAAAAAAAAAAAAACACAACAAAGCATTAGTATCACTTTAAAGCTAGCCATACATCAGAACTTTGTTAAACTATTTTGTTCTCTATCCAGTCGCTCGATTTTCTAACACTGGAGTTTGAGGAGTCAAATCAAAGTTTGATTTTGACCATTGCAACGAGAAAATTCAAAGGAACTGGATGAAAATTTTTCTCAAAATAAACTGCTAACAGTGTATGTGGTTTTCTTTCAGCAAATTCCACTCATACTGAAATCAAATGTTAAAAAGCAAACTAAATGTTTAAGTACTTTCAAAAGACCTTCAAGTCTCTGCAGGCATCATTGAATGTACTGGAGAGATTTTTTGGATGAACATTCTGGCAGGACCACCAGGTATTTTTTGCCCTTAACAATAAATAGAGATAACAAAATGCTTTCAAAGATAAAGTTAGCAGAACAAAAGGAAGCAAGTGAGAAAAGTGAAGTCTTTCATACATGTTCAGTAGGCCCTCACGTTACAAAATTGTTTGCAGAAAGAAACTGCACAGATATCCTACATTCAGAATGTTACGTTTGTGGGAAACTTTTTTGTATTTGTGTTCCACGGCAAATATGAAGCAACACTGCACTTCCACTAACAAATCAACACAATATGCAACTTTATGCAATTCACAACCAGCGACGATAATTCACAACCACCAATATTTAACCTGAGATAGTAAGGCCTTGTTCACCCTAAGGTGATTTTTTTATGCAACTTAAATTGCAGAGGGATGTTGAAGACAGATCTGGTTTATTCAATCTAACAGCAGATATCAATGTTTCTTCCAACCATCCCATTTATTGTTGAATAAATGCATTTTATCTAATAAAGTATAATGAATACATTCCATGAGCATGACGATATCAATTCTACGTAAAACAGAAGCTAATGGGACTACAGGTGATTTCCAATGCAGGGCTATGGCTGATAGGGTGGAAACGCAGATAGTATGAATCGGCCTCATCAAACTGGCAGAGCAGCCCGGAATGGATGAACCCAATAAACAAATCTGTGGTGACAGAACAACCCAAAAGCAGAGGCGACCTCCAATATCCTACGCCAGCCTTTCTCAACCAGGGTACTTGAGGTTTTCTTCAAGGGTGCCATGGCAAAATGTCTAAAAAACTGCCCAAAACTTGTATAAAAGCCAGCGGGTAGAACAAGCCAGCATTTTAGTTACACAAATGCCACAGGTTTTCATTGTGCACCATTATGACCTTCTAGTTGCCGGCGTCTTTTTTTCCTTGGGGTAGGACAGTGTTTCTCAACCTTTTTTCAGTCAAGGCACCTTTTAAAATTATGGACAGTCCCAAGGCACCCTTTAAAATTATGGACAGTCCCAAGGCACCCTTTAAAATTATGGACAGTCCCAAGGCACCCTTTAAAATTATGGACAGTCCCAAGGCACCCTTTAAAATTATGGACAGTCCCAAGGCACCCTTTAAAATTATGGACAGTCCCAAGGCACCCTTTAAAATTATGGACAGTCCCAAGGCACCCTTTAAAATTATGGACAGTCCCAAGGCACCCTTTAAAATTATGGACAGTCCCAAGGCACCCTTTAAAATTATGGACAGTCCCAAGGCACCCTTTAAAATTATGGACAGTTTAAAGGCACCCCTAGACTGTCCATAATTTTAAAAGGGCACCCCATTCTAAAATGTGAAAAACTATTCTAATAGTTTTATATAACGCAGCAACATCCACACAAGTAGGACACCCAACATTAGAGGTGATTTATTCTTCCAAAGCAAATACACTTTTGCACACTGGTACTGACTAGTATTCCAGTGTTTCTCTCCTTCCTCAGTTTTTCTCCATCGCTGTGCTAATGTGACCCCAGCACTGAATGAAAGGTGCAGGAGAGGGTCAAACTAGGATGCTGTGCAAGCAACCGACATACTCCTCTATTGATGATGTCATTGGTTGTCAGGATGCCGGCAGCTAGAAGGCTGTAATGGTACACAATGAAAATCTGTACCTTTTGTGTAACTAAAAGGCAGACAGTCTTGAGGCACCCCATTTTAAAATGGGGTGCCTCAAGACTGTCCATTATTTTAAAGGGTGCCTTGGGACTGTCCATAATTATAAAAGGTGCCTTGACTGAAAAAAGGTTGAGAAACACTGTCCTACGCCATATCAGGGAAAGACCAGGACAGGCCCAAACCATGAGTATGAGAATTCCAGCAAGGCTGCAACCCCTAAAACAGAGGTGCGAATCCAAGACGATTTTGGCGCCACAGACGTCAATGGAAATGCACCAAAATTGCATGCATATGCAATTCTGATGCAATTTGGAAAGCGATTTCACTTTTTTTTTTTAACCCTGAACTTTTCAAATCCTTAGTCCCTCAAAAGTAGTAGTAACACAAAGCTATAAAATCATGTAAAAACGCGCAGGATTACAATCTCCTCAAAAATCGCAAAAAAGCCACACTACATAATCACACCTAAAATCGGACCAAAATCACATAGCACTAGTGTGAACTAGGCCTAAAGCTCATCACTGGTTGGTGAATAAATCATAACACCACATCCTAAATAAGACAATAAAGATATTAGGGCACGTGACCTTAAAAGGATAAGTTCACCTTTGGAACACGTAGGATGTTCCAGGTCCTGCCTCCTCTCCCCCCGATCCTTCCCTTCCTGTGACAGTGGGCAGGAGATCTTCTACCTATACCCACTGTCACAGTTTTAAAACAGTGTGGCCGAGCCCACACCTCAGCATCATTCATTCACAGATGGCCGATGGCTTGTACAGTGCCTTGAAAAAGTATTCATACCCCTTGAAATTTTCCACATTTTATCATGTCACAACCAAAAATGTAAATGTATTTTATTGGGATTTTTTATGTGATAGACCAACACAAAGTGGCACATAATTGTGAAGTGGAAGGAAAATTATAAATGGTTTTCAAAATCTTTTACAAATAAATATCTGAAAAGCATGGCGTGCATTTGTATTCAGCCCCCCACCTTTCGCTGCAATTACAGCTGCAAGTCTTTTTGGGGATATTTCTACCAGCTTTGCACATCTAGAGTGTGAAATTTTTGCCCATTCTTCTTTGCAAAATAGCTGAAGCTCTGTCAGATTGGAAGGAGAGCGTCTGTGAACAGCAATTTTCAAGTCTTGCCACAGATTCTCAATTGGATTTAGGTCTGGACTTTGACTGGGCAATTCTAACACATGAATATGCTTTTATCTAAACCATTCAATTGTAGCTCTGGCTGTATATTTAGGGTCATGCTGGAAGGTGAACTTCCGCCCCAGTCTCAAGTCTTTTGCAGACTCGAACAGGTTTTCTTCTAAGATTGCCCTGTACTTCCCCATCAACTCTGACCATCTTCTCTGGCCCTGCTGAAGAAAAGCATCCCCACAACATGATGCTGCCATCACCAGGTTTCACGGTGGGGATGGGGAGTTCAGAGTGATATGCAGAGTTAGTTTTCCGCCACACATAGCGTTTTGCTTTTAGGCCAAAAAATTTAATTTTGGTCTCATCTGACCAGAGCACCTTCGTTCACATGTTTGCTGTGTCCCCCACATGGCTTCCCGCAAACAGGACTTTTAATGGCTTTCTTCTAGCCACTATTCCATAAATGCCAGATTTGTGGAGTGCACGACTAAGGCTACGTTCACATTAGCCTTGTTTTCAAGCGGCAGAAAGGCGTTTGGGAAGCGTTTTTACCGCTTCCCAAACGCCTCGGACAATTCTGCCCATTGCAGCACATGGTCCTGTTCTAACGGGAGCGGTAGCGTCGCGGCAAAACGGACATCTCTGGTTGAGTCAGGAGGCGTTGAAGCCTCCTATTCTAGTCTATGGTGCCGCTCTGCAAACGCCTGGGCGGCGTTTGTGGAGCGGTAACACCATCCAAACTTCATTATAGGCGTTTGTGGGGTGTTAACGCTCGGCAAACGCCTAGCAACAGCCGCTGAACCGCGCATGCGGCGTTTGCAGAGAGTTAAAAAACGCTCCGCAAACGCCGGACCAACGCTTGCCAAAAGCTATAGGGGCGTTTGGCAAGAGTTGGTAAAACAGTCAAGTGTGAACGAACCCTAATTCTTGACAGATTCTCCCACCTGAGCTGTGGATCTCTGCAGCTCCTCCAGAGTTACCATGGGCCTCTTGGCTGCTTCTCTGATTAATACTCTCCTTGCCAGGCCTGTCAATTTAGGTGGACGGCCATGCCTTTGTAGGTCTGCAGTTGAGCCATTCTCTTTCAATTTTTGCATGATGGATTGAATAGTGCTCTGTGAGATGTTGAACGCTTTGGATATTTGTTTATAACCTGACCCTGCTTTAAATTTCACCACAACTTTATCCCTGACCTGCCTGGTGTGTTCCTCGGCATTCATGATGCCGTTTGTTCACTAAGAAACCTCTGAAGGCTTTACAGAACAGCTGCATTTATACTGAGATTAAATTAAACTATTTACTAATTAGGTGACTTCTGAAGGCAATTGGTTCCAATAGATTTTAGTTAGGGGTATCAGAGTAAAGGAGGCTGAAAATATATGCACACCACACTTTTCAGATATTTGTAAAAAATGTTGAAAACCATTTATCATTTTCCTTCCACTTCACAATTATGTGCCACTTTGTGCTGGTCTATCACAAAATAAAATACATTTATGTTTTTGGTTGTAACATGACAATGTGGAAAATTTCAAGGGGTGCGAATACTTTTTCAAGGCACTGTATCTCTCAATGAACTATGAGGGCACTCAGTTCATGGATTCTTCCTGCCATTCAGTAACTGTCTGCCCATACGAGGTATGGGCAGACAGCTGTACCGAGTGTCTGCAGGATCCCAGCATTGCAAACACGATCCGCTGCTCCAGGGTGCAATGCCTTACAAGCTGCAGAGTAAAAAAGTAATAAATGCACATTTTTCACCTGAAAAAAGATGCAAACTTTAAAAGTGTGGATGGTTGGCAATTAAAAATTAACATCAAATATCTAAAACCCTAATTTTTTATTTTTTCATTGTTAAAAAACACACATAACAAATGGAATTTCCTTCAAGTGTGTGTTATTAAATGATACAAATGAATACACAAACAATATGCAATCCCTTGCGACTACCCTTTACGATGCATTAAATAGACTAGATTTTCTGTAGCTGTTGCACAACTGCTCATCCTCTCAGAATACTGTACCTAAAAGTGAAAAGTGTGCATTTTGCACATAACTAGATTCATCCAAAAAAAGAAAAAAAAATAGCTCATTGGGAAAGACAAGATATGACACTGCCATTGGACAGTTCCTCAAAAAAAAAAAATTATTTAAGCTGCTGTGATCTCACTAAATTGGACCCCAAATATGAATCCACCCAGTGTTATGTAGGACACAAGGTGCTCTAGTTTGCAGAGACCAAGATAAGAGCTAATCTTGCACACATACAATGGTCACTTGTGTGTTCATAGGACCACGTGATTATATATAGTTTTTAAATGCTAAATAAAAGCCATTGTAGGCATTTATAGAGCACATCAACACATTTCAAAACCTGGTCTTGGTATTTCCGTCAACCATCAACTATGGCTTATATTCCTGAAAATGTTGAGCAACTAGGTTTTATGTTCCCAATTTTTTTTTTATAGGAACATCTGAATTTCAAGTCAAAATCCATTTGAAATTGCAAAATCGTTCTAGTAGGTAACAGAACTTGCTTTTCATCTTGAGATGGATGCCAGATTTCCAAGATGACCTCAGAAGGATCAACAGGAATCTGCAAATGTCTTTTACAGAATCTGGTTGCAAGACATTTGGCACTCGGTTTTGTAAGAGAGGGGAATGCTGCTCTGTATGCAATCACAAAAGGAACAAATCTGTATATTTCCAGTAATTCTGAGCCTTGCAACTTCTAAAGTTGTTTATATTTCATAGGGAAGTATGCGGCTATTCATGGAATAACTCCCAGTATCATACAAACTCAATAGGGGAAGAATTGCCATCTTATCAGAAATATATAGGAGGATTTTTTTTTTTTCTACAAAAGTTTCTGACTTTTATGTTCTGTATACAAATAGCAGCATATCTTCAATTTGAGATCATCTAAGGCACTGCTGCTTTTTAAAAACAATTATCCCCATTACCACTACCTTGGCGACAATACACAAACTAAAACCCCATAAACCCAGTGGAGTCAGAGTGTCACTATGACATCCTGTTGGGAAACATTGTAGAATTTTATTTTGTGTTTGATGGCTTAGGGCATTTCACGTTTATTGGTTGTGCTACAATTTTTCAATATATTTATACTGCTGCGCATGGTTATCCATGATGAAGAGGAACTTGCTGTACCTGCAGGCATGCATCTTCCTACTTCTGCTTCATCCATACTGTAAATCTGAGCTTCCTCCTTGCCTGCTTCTTACTAAATATTACCTTATTAGTCCTCAGATCATCAGTCACCAGGTGGGCACCCTGTCCCTCTGTTAGCGTATTATAGCACAATTTCAATGTTTCAGGTCCTCTTATCATAAATATTTTATCGTTCCATGATAGATTCCCCTTAAATGCACCTGCTATGGGATATGATGGATTTAAATAGACTGGGACAGCAGTCGCCTAGGGGTACACATAATATAACTCTGGTTCACCAATAATATGATAATGGATAGAATTTTTTAAACCAACCATCTTCACTCACAAGTGCACCATTTAAGCGTTTGTAAAAAAAAAAAAAAAAAACAGAAAAGAAAAAAAAAAACACACAAACTTATCTGCTCCGTGCAATTGTCTTGCAAAGAGCAGCCCTAAACTTCCTCTTTTGGGGTCCACCCGCCAGAGCTCTTGGTTCCTACTCTTCTCAGTGTGCCACCATAGAAAGCCCCTTCCCATGGTGGCACACCTGCTGGCTTGATCCAGAGCTGGCCTATGTACATCTGTTGACACACACACAGAGCAGCTCAGCCCCGCAGCCTCTCACTGCCCACAGAATTTGACTGACTGTAGCAGGAGCCAATGGCCTCTGGATCAAGATGGGACTCATAAGTACAAAGGGGGGTGAGGGGGCGATACAAA